AGACATTATTAACACAGGCACTGATTATGATTATGACTTGTACTAGTAATACTATATTTTACAATAATTGGGTTTTTAGTTAGATATATTATAAAGATAATGTTTCGATAGCAGCCCTTTTAGTGAAAAATGAATCGTATCAAGTACACGTTGATTTCCTGCCCAAAAGATATCACGCCATGCCTCTGGACCAATGTAGATACCAGATGTATGTTAGAATTAGCTCCCTTTAAACATAGATTTTGTTTATAGGTACACTCTGCTCTCCGCAGAAATGATCCAATTCACTTTTCTGTTACTAATGGCGAAGAAATATCCTTAAGCATATTGCTTTTTTTTCTGTATCATACTGATTTTCTGTAACTGTTGACCATAGGTGTATCATACTGTTTCTGTTACTGTTGACCGAAGGTGTATCATACTGTGTTTCTGTTACTGTTGACCGTAGGTGAATCATACTGTGTTTCTGTTACTGTTGACCGTAGGTGTATCATACTGTGTTTCTGTTACTGTTGACCATAGGTGTATCATACTATTTACGTTACTGTTGACCGTAGGTGTATCATACTGTGTTTCTGTTACTGTTGACCGTAGGTGTATCATACTGTGTTTCTGTTGACCGTAGGTGTATCATACTGTGTTTCTGTTACAGTTGACCCTAGGTGTATCATACTGTGTTTCTGTTACTGTTGACCGTAGGTGTCTCATACTGTGGTTCTGTTACTGTTGACCGTAGGTGTATCATACTGTGATTCTGTTACTGTTGACTGTAGGTGTATCATACTGTGTTTCTGTCACTGTTGACTGTAGGTGTATCATACTGTGTTTCTGTTACTGTTGACCGTAGGTGTATCATACTGTGTTTCTGTCACTGTTGACTGTAGGTGTATCATACTGTGTTTCTGTCACTGTTGACTGTAGGTGCATCATACTGATTTTCTGTTACTGTAGACCGTAGGTGTATCATACTGTGTTTCTGTTACTGTTGACTGTAGGTGTATCATACTACTGTCATAAGACTGATCTCATGTCAGAAGTTAAATCTGATGTTGATCTTGTTGCGTCTTTAAAGATTGAGAAATACGGTTAAAAAATTGATATTTGTTTGTGTTAGAATTAATTGATATTTGTTATGGCCCTCATTGATATTTGTTACGATTGTGTTACCCATATTCACTTAAACACTGAGTTACCCCCTACGGACTACTTACTCCACAGAATTACTAAACATGTAAAATGTGATGGGTTTATTTATGTTCTTCTGGAATTTCGTGTCTACAGCCTGCCACGTATCTGTGTACCTCATGCACACCTTGTCATAATTCGCTCTCGTCAGGAAACGCACTTGAGAAAACAATATGTATGTACATGTATGTATGTTACCCCAGCCAAAATGTGTTTGTATTCAAATTGACGGCCCGTGCTGACCTTTAACCCGAAACAACTGAATACCTGATATCAAAAACAGTTACAATTATTGATATTTGTTACGGTTGTGTTGGATTATATTGATATTTGTTACGGTTGTGTTGGACTATATTGATATTTGTTACGGTTGTGTTGGACTATATTGATATTTGTTACGGTTGTGTTGGACTATATTGATATTTGTTACGGTTGTGTTGGACTATATTGATATTTGTTACGGTTGTGTTGGACTATATTGATATTTGTTACGGTTGTGTTGGACTATATTGATATTTGTTACGGTTGTGTTGGACTATATTGATATTTGTAACGATTGTGTTGGACTATATTGATATTTGTTAGAATTGTGTGGGACTATATTGATATTTGTTACGGTTGTGTTGGACTATATAGATATTTGTTACGGTTGTGTTGGACTATATTGATATTTGTTACGGTTGTGTTGGACTATATAGATATGAGACTGACAAAATTAGAATTGTGTTGTTGGACTATATAGATATTTGTTACGGTTGTGTTGGACTATATTGATATTTGTGACGGTTGTTTTGGACTATATTGATATTTGTTACGGTTGTGTTGGACTATATAGATATTTGTTACGGTTGTGTTGGACTATATTGATATTTGTTACGGTTGTGTTGGACTATATTGATATTTGTTACGGTTGTGTTGGACTATATTGATATTTGTTAGAATTGTGTTGGACTATAGTGATATTTGTTACGGTTGGACTATATTGATATGTGTTAGAATTGTGTTGGACTATATTGATATTTGTTACGGTTGTGTTGGACTATATTGATATTTGTTACGGTAGTGTTGGACTATATTGATATTTGTTAGAATTGTGTTTACGGTTGTGTTGAACTATATTGATATTTGTTACGATTGTGTTGGACTATATTGATATTTGTTACGGTTGTGTTGGACTATATTGATATGTTAGAATTGTGTTGGACTATATTGATATTTGTTTTGTGTTGGACTATATTGATATTTGTTACGGTTGTATTGTATTTGTTACTATACTTGATATATTGATATTTGTTACGGTTGTGTTGGACTATATTGATATTTGTTACGGTTGTGTTGGACTATATTGATATTTGTTAGAATTGTGTTGGACTATATTGATATTTGTTAGAATTGTGTTGGACTTTATTGATATTTGCTAGCATTGTGTTGGACTATATAGATATTTGTTACGGTTGTGTTGGACTATATTGATATTTGTTAGAATTGTGTTGGACTTTATTGATATTTGCTAGAATTGTGTTGGACTATATAGATATTTGTTACGGTTGTGTTGGACTATATTGATATTTGTTACAATTGTGTTGGACTATATTGATATTTGTTACGGTTGTGTTGGACTATATTGATATGTGTTACGGTTGTGTTGGACTATATTGATATTTGTTACGGTTGGACTATATTGATATTTGTTACGGTTGTGTTGGACTATATTGATATTTGTGACGGTTGTTTTGGACTATATTGATATTTGTTAGAATTGTGTGGGACTATATTGATATTTGTTACGGTTGTGTTGGACTATATAGATATTTGTGACGATTGTGTTGGACTATATAGATATTTGTTACGGTTGTGTTGGACTATATTGATATTTGTTAGAATTGTGTTGGACTATATTGATATTTGTTAGAATTGTGTTGGACTATATTGATATTTGTTACGGTTGTGTTGGACTATATTGATATTTGTTACGGTTGTGTTGGACTATATTGATATTTGTTACGGTAGTGTTGGACTATATTGATATTTGTTAGAATTGTGTTGGACTATATAGATATTTGTTACGGTTGTGTTGGACTATATTGATTTGATTATTGAAGCTGGTGTAAGTTGGACTGGAAACGATAAATTTAACAAGTTACGATGTTGATTGGACGAGTGTTATTTCTATGGAGTTTTTTGTTGGTCTTCATTCAGGACTGTTCTGTTTTGTTATGTTGTATTTAACTGGTTTATACTATTGTATTTTTGCTTTAGAAGTCAATTAACAGAGTGAGTTAGAGTGTTAACATGATGAGGGGAAGAGGTCTCTTTGGAACGACAGATTATCAAAACCTGGTCAAGGCTCCCACTAAGTGCTTCGGCTGGCGCCTCTCACCAACACCCCCAGGGTTCGATTCCCTGAACGAACGCGAGTGAAAATACATAGCGTACTGGCAAGACCACGTGAGTTTGCCGCGGGTACTTGGGTTTTAGCCCACAGGTACACTCCTCGTGCGCTCCCATCCAGGCCGGTAAATGTAATTAATATGAGTTGGAATAATTTGTTCCGGAATTTCTTAAAACTTTCACTCAGTTTAAGCCGGAAACTGAAATAACAACTGAGAGTTGAATATGTGTCATTTCCGGTGACATTCAGTCTGTAATATGCAGCGTCGCTTCCGTTTCGTCTGAAATAAAAAACGGTCAGTGTTTTCAGCTGAATTAGCAAATTAGAGAAATATCTATATTTCTCACTATTAAAACAGTTGCTTTGTATGCTTCCGGTCTTTTCATCATCACAATATTTAATTATCAGTCTGGTTTGTTATGACACTATGACACCGTCAAAGTAGAATAATTCTAATGTGATATTGCCTGCAAGCGTTGTCATTTATAACGACCATAAATGACAAGAAAATTTAATGCTGAAGGATAAAATGTAATTTTTTGAACTCGATCAATTTGTATGATTGCCAAGGATGGACTTGCAAATGTATTCTTCTGGTAGAAGTACAAATGGATCAGAGAGCAGACCAAGCCTACGTTAATCTTCTCCAGTTTTAAAGAGATCTAATGAAAGCGTTTAAATATGTTCATAAAAAATTAGTTAATATAATGAGATATCACAATTACTGCTTAAAGAGACGTAATAACAATATTCCCGTGGAATAAAAAAAGAAAAGTAAAACTTGTTATGGTATTAAACTGAAACCAATTCTTAAATCCATTATCCTACAGTTTCTTGTATAGATACCAATTATAAATATCGAGATTGTGAAATCTGATGCTGAAAACATCTCTAATTCTCAATTCGTTGATTTTTTTTACTATCAAACACAAAATCCGCCAACAATATCTGATTCCTCGTGGTATTTAAAACTAAAGAACAGCAGACTATCACACAATCCGTAATGTCATTCTGGTTTTTAACAAATCTATATATATTCACAAACAGAGGCATTTTGCCCACTAATGTTCTACTTTCCGTCATTCTTACTGTAGCAGTCATGTTGTAAATCCACAGCTGTCTGGTTGAAACTTTAACACGTTTTTCATTTACCGGTGAAGATACATGAAGAGGTAATTATTTTGAATGCATATGTAGCATAAAGCACTGTAATCTACAGTAATATACATTATCTACTGACTAATCGTACCCTGGAGACCAATGTTGTTTTACTACATACGGCGGATATGAGATCTGCGATTGACACAGATTAGACTTGCAAACGGCATTTGAGATCTAACTTTTTTTCTCATTTGAACAAATCTGAAGAGAATTAAGGTCTGTGAGAAGGTCACAAGAACTGATAATACAAACTAACACAGTGTTATCAAATAATTCCGCTTTATTTTCTTTTTCGAGACAATTGGTCACGTGATTTGGACACACCCATAAAGTTCAAACGTATCACAGAGTCATGATATTACGGTACAGTTATCAGTGATGGGATATCTCACAGACAGCTCTGACCAACAGTTCTCGTTTTATTTTGTACAGCTATCTAGGCAATTTGACATGTATACAAATAGTTCAAACTGGTGTTATTTTGAGAAAAAAATTCAAAATATGAAAAAAATCTTTTTGGCATTCCCATAACCTTGATCAATGTCAACAGGTGAATTTCTACGCAATTGCAAGGTTGTTTATAAACACTCATTATCATCTAGCTCGTTACACAACAAAACTGCAGCCAAATATCTTTTGGGATAATGTAAGTATACATTGATAACAATATACACTATCTCTGTATAATTTGACGCTGTTTGTATACAGAACCAAATATTCATATAAACACGCCAGTCCTTTTTGTATCTAGGATATGAGAACACCACAGAAATGTTGTAACAAAATTAGTTGTTTTCGACACATTGTTGATTTTTATTTCGTAAATGAATTCTTAGAGTAATTTCTAAATACCACACTTAATGCATAATGACAACGTGTTACCTGGTACGGCGAGGAAAAGACATCCGATTGCAATGTTCTATTGTCATAAATTCATATTTAACCAATTGGACAAAATAAAAAGAGACACACCTCATTCTAATCTTTATCTTTCTGACATATACAACCAGACTTATGGTCCCTTTAACGACTCCAAATACGCCTCTAAAATTTATTTGCCGTTATATGTTAAAAAACATACAATCAGGTTATTTCATAAAAACGGATCCATTCATACCTCGCTACCTTTTTCTTTACAATTCTGATAAAACAGACATGCATTTTTTTTCAAGAGACTTTCGTGTGCATTAAATCTCAATTATATTCACATACATCATTTCAGTCACGGGCTTAGAATACATTCACTAACAATTAAAACAATAAAGTTTGTTTATTTCAATAATGCTAACAAATGTTTTGCAGAAAACGAAATTCACCTTTTTAAATTTCGTGGTTACGATGGCTTTGAAAAAACGTCCAAATATTGCGTACAGCGTATACATGTACACTCATTTTGTAGGTTTAACAACAAGACATTTAGTTTCAGCAAGCTGAAAGCTTATCCTCGATACTTCAGAGGTTACGATCACTTTCGCTCTCTTCACGCCTGGAACATTTCATGGCAAAATTGAAGGTTCCGTGAGCGACACCTTGTTAACAAGACGAACAAATTACTATGATCCTTTAACGTACATCAAACAGATTTCTAGTTCGCATGATGGTATATCGTAATAGCTTGTAATCTTCAAATGGAGCGTATCAGGCTGTGGTCATGTTTTTTATACGCCTGGAACCAATCAAATTTCTTCACTTCTATCCTCAATATTGCCTTGAGATGTTCCAGGGGTGCAGCAAGCCGGTGTGATGGTAACCCCTGGAGTATTGAGGATGGGAAAAGCTCATAGATTCACTACACTCTTATTAGCGATAACATAGAAATCTTTATGTATTAATTCATTGACACTATCGGCGAGATTATCATCAAACATTTTAAACGCAATTTAACTTTAAAAGACCGATATACGTTAGATCGGTATATCATGGGAAGAATATGTATTCGTGAATCAAAACCTCAGTTAGGTTAAAAATGACGAAGAAACGTGCCGTTTGTTTACTATTTGTCTATATCAGTTCAAACATATTTTATTGATAAAAAAACCCCAAACAAACAAACAAAAAACACAGACAAAGGAGATTGGGCATAAGTTCTGACATCTGACAACGTCCTAGGCCCTCCCCTGACAACACAAGACATAACTAAAGATGTAACGTGATGGCAAAAAAGGTTCAATATATATACAAACTACTTAGTAACATGAAAAGGTAAGAAGTAAAAGAAAGAGTGGGGAGGGAGGTAAAAGGATGGGACAGCAGGATGTGGGTGAGTGGGGGTTCTGGTTGCAGCAGCTGTACACGACTTAGAATCAAACCTCTTCCTGGATTTTATAAATGACTTCACAGCATGTACTCTGTAACTACCTGTTTCAAAAGGAAGCTCGACATCTCCCAATATGAGAATCCAGTTGGGGACTAGATAGATACCAAAAATGTTTGATAAAGCACCAAACAATCTTATTTCAGAATTTGAAAATTTGGAACAAACAAAACAATAATGGTAATCAGTCTTTTGTGATGTCTTCATTATACACCACTTTCTTCCAATATCAAGGTCTGTTACAGGAAATCTTTTGACACTTGTTCAATCTTGATGAATTAACACCTCCATATCCAATAATTAAACGTGATGCTGACATTTGTAATATCCTGAAACAGCTAGTTAAAAAATTATTTACATAATGCATTTTCCTAAAGCGATTTAGAATAGAATTATCGCTTATTATTTATCAACCGACATACGTAGTTGGGCTTGAGACACAAATAGAGGGAAAACTAAATACAATGACAACGCCATGGTAACGCCGTGACGTCAACTGTAAATCTAGAAACGATCCAGATATGTACATGTAATATTCTTGTGCGCAGATAACATGGAACAGAATGACTACTCCACGAGTTAGCCATGTCAAAAATCATATTAATATTGGTAAATGCATTTATCTCTCGTGTGTTTGCTTGAAAAAGTTTTTCTTTCTTCTCCCATATTTTTTAATTTTGCAATTTTTAATGATATCTGAATCTTATTTTCATTTCCCTTTGTCCTGATATTGTTGTGTTTAAGGTATTCTTGTATAAAAGAAACACATCAAACACACATAACTCGTGACGAAATCGAGAATCGGGATATAAACGAATAACACCCTTTCCAGGTCTTTTGTTCATATGAGAAACGCGAAATTCCTTCGCTTCCGGCTATCAATTCCAAAAGCCGGAAGTACCAATGACTAACTACAAAGAAAAACCACATAACCGATACAGCTACATGTAAATTCAAAGCAAATGCATTTTTAGCTAATTCGAAAGGCAGCTATGCTTGGAGATAGGCAATCTAGATTTTTTGGGGACAAGACATACACAACACACTTTCTGACAGTATTTTCAAGTTAAAAACAAAATACAAATGTATATCCCTATCTATCTGATCACGTGGTTCAGTATTTTAAGCACGTCCGTCTATTTTATATCTATATATCTACCTTAATTACACAGCTTTTAACTTGTAAACGCTTCACCAAAACAAGTGTCGTCGATGACTTGAGTGTCTGTCGTCCGTTACAATACTTTATCCTAGTCTGTCCATCTGCTTACCGTCCAATGTTATAGAGCCTTTCGATGGTGACCGAAAAGCTGTTTCTGAAGTTGTGAACCCATTGTCTTTGTCGTCACTTCCGTTGCTAGATTTCAAAATGGAAGTTCTCGTCGTATCGAGAATGGCTAAACGAGACTTTCGTTTTCCTTTACAACAGGAGGATAACGCCTTTTTGAAACTTTCCCGAAAGTTCTTTGACATGAAACCATAAACAATAGGGTTCACACAACTGTTTGCATATGACATGAGATGGAAAGCAAGGCGCATAGGCTTCAAGTAGTAAATATGAAATCCATCCAGTACTCCGAATGACACGAGAACGTTGTTGACGAGGATCGGGCCCCAGCAAACTGCAAACAGCAGCACGACCACGATCAGCATGATGATCACCTAAGATTTAACAAAAAGGTACATATTACATCTAGGGACAAACACGCCAGGTACATATTACATCTAGAGACAAACACAAAAGGTACATATTACATCTAGAGACAAACACAAGGTACATATTACATCTAGGGACAAACACGCAAAGTACATATTACATCTGGGGACAAACACACAAGGTACATATTACATCTGGGGACAAACACACAAAGTACATATTACATCTGGGGACAAACACACAATGTACATATTACATCTAGGGACAAACACGCAAGGTACATATTACATCTAGAGACAAACACACAAGGTACATATTACATCAAGGGACAAACACACAAGGTACATATTACATCTAGGGACAAACACACAAGGTAAATATCACATCTAGGGACAAACACGCCAGGTACATATTACATCTAGAGACAAACACAAAAGGTACAACACACAAGGTACATATTACATCTAGGGACAAACACACAAGGTACAGATAACATCTAGGGACAAACACACAAGGTACATATTACATCTAGAGACAAACACGCCAGGTACATATTACATCTAGAGACAAACACAAAAGGTACATATTACATCTAGGGACAAACACACAAGGTACATATTACATCTAGGGACAAACACACAAGGTACATATTACATCTAGAGACAAACACGCCAGGTACATATTACATCTAGAGACAAACACACAAGGTACATATTACATCTAGAGACAAACACACAAGGTACATATTACAGCTGGAAACAATTACACAAGAAACGTTACATGTATACTAATGAGACAGAATCTGATGGTGTTCCTACTGTACATTATTACAGCTACAAAAATAGTTCTTAACTTAAAACGGAAAGATTGAATTCTCATTTAGACTACGATTATTTTTCCTTTTTTTCCAAAGTAATCTGCCGAATGCGACATTTAATGTTATGTACCTGGAGTCCTATGAAGCCAAGTTCTAAAGCCATGATAATGAAACATTGTAGTGAAAATAGTTTAAACATTAGAAAACGACTGTTGTCGAACCTTCTATATACAGTGACTGAAAAACCGTGGGTATATACCCTACTTCTATAAACTGTTCAGACATGAGGAATGGTCTTGGAGATGATTTCCCTATCAATCTCATCTTCATTTTCAGAATGAAGTTTTGAATTAGAGTCTAACGTCTGATAATCTGATTTATATATTACTTATCAAATAACCTTGGTTACCTGTTTACGTGTGCGTGTGTCGTCTGTACTTTTGGCTGTTATACGTCGTGTCGAGTCCCCGTGGGCTGGGTATACATTAGATGAAGATCGTTGTGACGTCATGGTATATGACGTACATGTAGAAGATCGCGCTTCTTTATATTGGCATTCACTACAACAAACAAATATGTTTACACTGGTTAGTCTATAGACGAAGCTAATTAACTCTAATATCTATCTATCTATCTATATATATATATATATATATATATATATATATATATATATATCGATTAAGACGCATGGCGGTTAGCCTTCCTAAGAGTACACAGAAACGTGAAATAGATGGATAGCTATCGTGGAGATAATAACCCACAGCTCCCTGAACAGGGATATTGTTTGTTAACAAGATAATAACCCACAACTCCCTGTAACAGGGATATTATTTGTTATCAAGGTAATAACCCACAACTCCCTGTAACAGGGATATTGTTTGTTAACAAGATAATAACCCACAACTCCCTGTAACAGGGATATTGTTTGTTAACAAGATAATAACCCACAACTCCCTGTAACAGGGATATTGTTTGTTAACAAGATAATAACCCACAGCTCCCTGAACAGGGATATTGTTTGTTAACAAGATAATAACCCACAGTTCCCTGTAACAGGGATATTGTTTGTTAACAAGATAATAACCCACAACTCCCTGTAACAGGGATATTATTTGTTATCAAGGTAATAACCCACAACTCCCTGTAACAAGGATATTGTTTGTTAACAAGATAATAACCCACAGCTCCCTGTAACAGGGATATTGTTTGTTAACAAGGTAATAACCCACAACTCAGTGTAACAGGGATATTGTTTGTTAACAAGATAATAACCCACAGTTCCCTGTAACAGGCATATTGTTTGTTAACAAGATAATAACCCACAGTTCCCTGTAACAGGCATATTGTTTGTTAACAAGATAATAACCCACAGTTCCCTGTAACAGGCATATTGTTTGTTAACAAGATAATAACCCACAGTTCCCTGTAACAGGCATATTGTTTGTTAACAAGATAATAACCCACAACTCAGTGTAACAGGGATATTGTTTGTTAACAAGATAATAACCCACAGTTCCCTGTAACAGGCATATTGTTTGTTAACAAGATAATAACCCACAGTTCCCTGTAACAGGCATATTGTTTGTTAACAAGATAATAACCCACAGTTCCCTGTAACAGGCATATTGTTTGTTAACAAGATAATAACCCACAGCTCCCTGTAACAGGGGTATTGTACACCAACAAGATAATAACCCACAGCTCCCTGTAACAGGCATATTGTTTGTTAACAAGATAATAACCCACAACTCAGTGTAACAGGGATATTGTTTGTTAACATATAACCCACAATTCCCTGTAACAGGGGTATTGTTTGTTAACATATAACCCACAATTCCCTGTAACAGGGATATTGTTTGTTAACAAGATAATAACCCACAATTCCCTGTAACAGGGGTATAATAACCCACAATTCCCTGTAACAGGGATATTGTTTGTTAACAAGATAATAACCCACAATTCCCTGCAACAGGGGTATTGTTTGTTAACATATAACCCACAATTCCCTGTAACAGGGATATTGTTTGTTAACAAGATAATAACCCACAATTCCCTGTAACAGGGGTATTGTTTGTTAACATATAACCCACAATTCCCTGTAACAGGGGTATTGTTTGTTAACATATAACCCACAATTCCCTGTAACAGGGGTATTGTTTGTTAACAAGATAATAACCCACAGCTCCCTGTAACAGGGATATTGTTTGTTAACAAGATAATAACCCACTGCTCCCTGTAACAGGGATATTGTACACAAACAAGTTAATAACCCACAGCTCCCTGTAACAGGGGATATTGTTTGTTAACATATAACCCACAACTCCCTGTAACAGGGGTATTGTTTGTTAACAAGATAATAACCCACTGCTCCCTGTAACAGGGATATTGTACACAAACAAGTTAATAACCCACAGCTCCCTGTAACAGGGGATATTGTTTGTTAACAAGATAATTACAGGGATGTTGTATATCATGCTTAATGTAAAATGATGACTATATCTAGCCAAGGGCATGCCCAAAGCTCTGCTGCTCTTGTCTACTAATGGAACTGATGGTTAAAATGGAAAATTAAGAACATCAACTGAAAATGAAATGATCAGTAATTATCATCATTACATGTATGGACAACTGCCATCCGTGGAAAACATATTTGATTTGTTGTAGATGTAAGCTGATGAGAAAATTAAAAATACCGTCTATCTCTAGAATTACTTTGTTTCAATAGAGAAACTTTGTTTTTTCCTGAAATATTGAAAAAAATTCTTTAGTTTTTTTTAGCCATTTAGTTTCACTATTGCAAATGATCCACCCAAATACATATTCTTTAATAATAGAAAATTACTTCTATTGGTAGAAATTTCTGAAGAATATAATTTTGTGTAAATGTTCCCTTTAGGATCCTTGTCTTTCACTGTTGAGCAATATACCGACCATTGATGAATAACAGAACAGTGTGATAAGAAATAAAAAAGATATGATAGTAGAGTTTGAATTCTGTTTGATGGAGATTGGGAATATTTTTAAAAAGTGCCCAGAGATTTATGGATTGCAATGTTACTCGGCTATAAGTCAGAGTACCTGGTTTTAAGAAAGTCTTTCAGATAAATTGTTTGACTGCTTGCCTTTAAGTGAGCACGATTAAAACACTCAGGCAAATCGTTGTAGTGTATGAGATCCATGGACACGACGCATAGTCACCAATTGAAAAATACATTAGTCAAATAGCTTTTGTGTCGAAGTATTCTCAGCTCAGCTTTTCGGGTAATGCTTTTACCAAAACATTGATGCGATTTGAAAGTCAATGAGAACAGTTTAGTCCTTGAACCTCAGGGGAAGAAAAATCACATTTAACCGTCCGGAAATGTGTGATGTCATTCATTATCTGTGACGTATTGGCTCCAAGTCCGTGATAGAAGAAAACACATTGATTGACATAACACATTCCTCCCTAGTTCACATCGACTGTGCCGTGACCTACCTTCCGGGATTCTGATGTACCATGGGGTACACGTGAAAATGTCAACACTCAAGAAACAAACTGAAATGTTTGTTTTCGGGACTTAATGTTCAAAGAAAGTGAAATACCCTGTCATCATGTTTCAAATCTATGAACTGTGGTGATAATTCATGCAAAAATTTGTTGAATTCTAGCCTAAACTTTCAGAATTACATTCAAGAGAAGTTTCCGGCAACGGTAAAACGTTTTAATCTCGGACGATGCTTTAAACCTAATAATGCCGTCAACTGTGCCACAAATTTTGTTTATAGGGGGGGGGGGGAGGAAATCAACAGAACGTCATATAACGTGATCCGATTTTAGTAAAAAAAAACACGACAACAAACGGTAACAAAGTCTATTGCAACGCATTGTAGTATGTCCTACTTGCGTACATGAATTCCACACACCCTTTATTTTGGTTTTAAATGCTTTGAGAAAATTCATCAAGATAATGAAGATGTAGATAAAACAATTCTGAAATAAGATTATATACATACATTAAAAAAACTTTTTGATTATATTCTGGTTAGTATTACATCTTACTGTTTCCTTGAAATATCTTCATGTTATCTGATCTAACATGCACCTTTTCGACATAACATTATGTAAATGCTTACGCGTTGTTCAGATGCTCATATGAGTGGTCAGTTTGACTTACCTGCCTGAGCGCATGACTGCCCTCTTGGACACGACGTACCAAATCTCCACACAGATCCACGTGTACGTAAAAGCCATGACACCGACTGGGATGACAAAGATGATGATCAGCATGTATAATTCGTAAGCCTGATGGTGCCATGGTCGAGCAAAGTCTATTCGGCACCAGTAGGCTTTCCGGGTCGAACCAACCATCATATGTTTCTGTAAGTAAACATCACCACGTAAGTGAAATAAGACAGGAAGTGACCTAAATATACTACCTGACATCGTAATCAGTAAACCTTAATATTCCACCTGACATCGTAATCAGTGACCCTAAATATTCTACCTGACATCGTAATCAGTGACCCTGAATATTCTACCTGACATCGTAATCAGTGACCCTAAATATTCTACCTGACATCGTAATCAGTGACCCTGAATATTCTACCTGACATCGTAATCAGTGACCCTGAATATTCTACCTGACATCGTAATCAGTGACCCTAAATATTCTACCTGACATCGTAATCAGTGAACCTGAATATTCTACCTGACATCGTAATCAGTGACCCTGAATATTCTACCTGACATCGTAATCAGTGACCCTGAATATTCTACCTGACATCGTAATCAGTGACCCTGAATATTCTACCTGACATCGTAATCAGTGACCCTGAATATACTACCTGACATCGTAATCAGTGAACGTAAATATTCTACCTGACATCGTAATCAGTGACCCTGAATATTCTACCTGACATCGTAATCAGTGACCCTGAATATTCCACCTGACATCGTAATCAGTGAACGTAAATATACTACCTGACATCGTAATCAGTAAACCTTAATATACTACCTGACATCGTAATCAGTAAACCTAAATATACTACCTGACATCGCAATCAGTGACCCTAAATATACTACCTGACATCGTAATCAGTGAACCTGAATATTCTACCTGACATCGTAATCAATGAACCTGAACATTCTACCTGACATCGTAATCAGTGACCCTAAATATTCTACCTGACATCGTAATCAGTAAACCTTAATATACTACCTGACATCGTAATCAGTGACCCTAAATATTCTACCTGACATCGTAATCAGTGAACCTGAATATTCTACCTGACATCGTAATCAGTGACCCTAAATATTCTACCTGACATCGTAATCAGTGACCCTGAATATTCTAACTGACATCATTTTATGCGTTCTCTACAATCTGCTTCGTAAGGATATTTTGGTATTATCCAATATATTCTATATCAATTTAGTCACGCAGTGCCTAATGTATATATATGCCAAATTATATTAATAAAACTACTGCATCTTTATACAATACATAGAAAAGATAGTCTTCTCCTGAGTTGTAGGATCATACAACATTTCATGTACGATGTCCAAATGGTAATATGAGAAATATGCAAAATACTGATACGTTGTTACTAGGATTATTTGTCTGATGAAAGTGGTGTCACACAGTGAACGACTTCAACAAAGTCAAATAATGGGAGACTGGGACAGGTGATCGGTAAGAACTGTAATAAGAAATTCATAAAAAATACAGTAAAAGTAGAAACGACAATTTTGTGGACGTTTATATGAATACAAAACCGGGATATGCATTTCGCGTATAACAATACAGGGTTCAAAAGTCTAGGTTTATGTTTACATTGTCATGGTGATAAATAGTCTATTGCTTTGTGCGACATGAAGCTGGATGTTTGGTGCTCGTTAGTTTGCCTTTTGGTTCCGTTGTTGTTTAATTTACTCTCATTTTGAGAACGTGATATTACTTATTAGGATTTACATGGCGGATGTCGTCGATGAACCAGAATACGCTTACTCTTCCGGAACACCTGGTCTTATTCTCCTTTAACTTTTAAAGGAGTCTTCGAGTAAATCTTTCTTTATTTATTTTTGCCCGAAATTGATTGAATTCGAGTTTGGATTAATGGTTTCGTGACATGTTGGTATTTTCTTGTTTTTCATACGGAACTGAAGGTGACCTTGACATCTGATGCTGAGTATAACATTCAAAATTCTCCTAAACTACAAGGACGAGCAAACAAAGAGCACACAGCCATTGAACTTCATTTGGCAATGCAGAATCGTGCGATAGTGTTCACGTGATCTCGTTACAAAATAAAGAAATGGTCGAAACAACGACACAGATACAAAAAAAAACCTGTGACTCCAGTACCGTGTTACTAGCCTAAACTAATGAAAATGTGTCCCCACAAATGGCCAACAGCGGGACGCATGCTAGAAAGTGCTTTTAACGTGAATCGGAAGTTTACAAGATTCCAGAGCATGGATTTTTGACAACCGATGCGAACGGACACCTGGAACACAGTGCGAGTTTGTTTCGATCAAAATTACCTCAATAAAGCATTTAAACGGAGTCATTTATAGGCTTCAGCTGCTGATAGCATACACACAACTCTGTTATCTATCAAGAAATAGATTTTGGGTATTGTGACCTACAAAAACAATGTACAGGGAGAGCTCGTTCTTAACCATATACAAAAACCCACTCTGGTACCGTTGCTTTAGAGGTTGAATTGCCATATCAGCTCACGAATATCAGCTGAGACCAGACCATGCAGTAGAGGGCTAGTGTGCATAACACTGTAAAAGATATGATGGCGTTCAAAGATAGATTCAGAAAAGACAACAGTACTGGGATATGAGACGAATGTGTATGCATTGCTCTACCACTGCCGAAATCGTGTATTGAACAAAAGAAACATATGATATAGAGGGCAACTCGATTTGTCGAACACTTGATCACGGCGTTATATCTGAAATGTGACCCCGACAAGGCCAGCACCGTGCATAAGATGACGAATTCTTTCTATATAGATGGAGCTAATCATCTCTTAAGGTTTATGAATTAAATAAAATCCTTCCCGATCTCTCGTGTGAGCGAACGAGCAATTGCATTGCAGGATTCTAATTTAGTAAGGTATTCACAGCTTTTTATAGAAAATATATGGCCAGTGTTTTGAATTATAAGCTTTATTTTGGCGAGGGTGAAGAAAGACCAGAGCGGCATGTCTCTGGCGTGCCACTTTTGTCTTTCTGTCCCGAGCTGAAATGTAGCTTATATTTTAAGACACTGACCATGTGTTCTATTTATCCGGCGACATTGATTGCAAATCAGATCGTCAAATCTTCAGCAGTTTACCTGACGTTGACGATACGCTGAATTTAAGCTAATGACGTACGCCAAAATAAGTACTACATGCAGAAATACAGTTCCAAACTTCAACGAATATCACAGCGATTTAATTAATTTTCTTATATAACCCTATTTATTACATCATATAAAATCGCTTAATTCAATAGTTATAATTATTGTAAAACGTGATTTTAAACTAATTTCAGGAAGTAATTCTGTCGAATTAACGCACGTGCTAAAATACAGCTGTTTTCCGTTACTGCCGAATACAGCCAAAAATTTATGTGACAAATGTATTCCAACAATGGCAGCGCCAGTTGCAGGATAAAATAAAGTAGATGACAGTTTTTGACTCCAAAGCCAGTACTATAATTCCAGTGACGAATTACTATTGCAAAGTACCGCATCTGAAAGAAACGGTGATCACTCAATTCGTGCATCAGCTGGCAGAAAAACAAAGAATGTATTTCGAAGGAACAATTTGGCTGTGGTTTGCGGGCTTGATGAGTTTTACAGCTACGTATATGGTAGATCATGATAAAAAAATCTCTAGAAATGGTAATAGGGAAATCACTACATGCTGAGTAAGCCTTTCCTTTAAAAAAACTGTGTTCCTTGGTGATGTAGATAGTATGATAATGGACCCGATGCGGCCGATTGCAGAGCGTTTAACGTTTTGATTCATTCGAGCGGATCAGAATATATATATGTGCTTTACTTTGTTTTCGAATTATAAGATATAAAAAATAGAGAATTGATTAAATTACTGTTCTAACTTGAAGTTTGTATTTAAACACGTTATTCACATGTGTGTCTTATGCAATAAGATATTGATTATTGTTCTCAATGCTTTACCATACATTATCCGTAAATATGAGATCTAGAACCGTAGTAAAAGGCACAGTTCGACAGACAAGGTATTCTCTACGCGATTAAAAGTTTTCTACACTTCAGATGAGTTCTGTTCAAACTTCTCTCGAAATATCTTGAATTTTACTAAGTCTGATAACATATCTGGTTTAGATCGCTAGCAGCACTTTTAGGAGTTGTGGGACGCACTATCTTATACAAGAGACAATAGCCCATTTTAATCCAGTATGAACGGACAGATCATTCATCATAGAAAATGAAGCTCATTTAATTAATGACCCACTTTTATAAGAACGGACATGAGTGCAAAACGATATGACCGATATACAGGAGACCTTGAAGCACTACAGTCCAGAAATCACCCTTGTTGGTGGTCAGACCTAATTTACGATGTACTGTAAGCAAATAGCTCAATACTCTATTGCACTGCGTCTTGTGTGAAAGGATGAATCGTTCTGCCCGAGAAAACGTCACATGTGACGTCACAAACATTCAAATGGATCCACTCCCTGCTACATCTTTCAGAAGAAACTCGAGGACCTTTGCGAGATCGGAAGTCGGTTAATGAAGATTAATTCAGTTTCTGTTGTCATCTTTATATAACGTGCACTTGGAATGTGTTTAAGACTTGCTTGTTTCTCTTTTCCTTTAGATTTCGACATATTTTAGTGTTAGTGGACTGCGTACATAGCGACAGAAGAAGAAATTTTCGTTCAGTTTTATACTTTATATTTCATCACATTGAAGTAGCGAAAGGATATGCAAGCAAAGAATGGTCACATACAGATGGAATAGAAGTCCTCATAACACAGCCAGCAAGAGATGATGCAAGTGTGACGTTTGGATTGATGACAACACCATCACCTTCGTCAGAAAAAGATCAATGTTAAGCGTCCTTGTACACAAAATTGTATGTATATACTGTGGTGGATTGGGCTGTGATTCAGTTAACACGTCGTTATAGATGTCCGAGAATCTACACAGTTCTTGTATCCAATATTCTATTCGCTTTCTGCCACATTCTCTTTCGGTGTTTTATCATCAATATGGATAAGGGTATTTCGGAGTGTCGTATGAAGATTCATGGCCGTTGCAATGTCATGACTACTGTAAATCCTCTAAATGGTTTCAAACAGGCCTTGATGTAAAGGATGACTACATGTCCTCTCAATTTGCTTTTTTCCGTGGCATTTCGTCTCCTCGTCTATTCTTTGCTTTCCAAAAATTCGTTGCATGTACTTTGTGAATTGCCCAATCAGAGTATCCATGTATCAATATGGCGCTATATATGTGATTTTGTTCTACAATAATTTCACATCTGTTGAGCAAAGTTTGTACCACGCCCATCTTCTAGTTTAAGGTTGGCTCAATCGGATATTGAGGTACTGGTCCGTGGGCGTCTTGTTCCTATATATCAATGCTTTGATAGTACCGTCATCTATCTTTAATAGAAAGGTATCACGGAATGGCATAGTACCGTCGATTTCTTTAATAGAAGGGCATCAAGGAATGACATAGTACCGTCGATTTCTTTAATAGACGGGCATCAAGGAATGGCATAGTACACGTCATCTTTCTTTAACAGAAGGGTATTAAGGAATGACATAGTACTGTCATCTTTCTTTAACAGAAGGGCATCAAGGAATGGCATAGTACCGTCATCTTTCTTTATGCTGTTTTTGGTATTAAAGTTGTTGATGTGCGCAAACTCTTCTATCATCATTTCTTGATTATTTCCAATATGTCACCAATATATCTTTGCCACCAACTAGGCTGGCACTCTACGGAAGCGGTTGCTACAACCTCTCTCTCCAAGGACTCCATAAAAAGTTTATCGTAATCGGAGACGCCGTGCCAAACCGTTGCTGATTCATGTAGATGGTACACTCTTGTAACGACGTTTATGGTATATGGTATCCAAGACTGCTAAATATGTTGTTGCATGCAAAAACTCTAGTCAATCTATGACGTCTTGGATATACAAATTGGCATTCTGTCACCATGGCCGACCTTGCTCTAGACGTCTCCAAATGATGCCAAGTGTTTTGTCACTTGTTGTGTTCGTGAAATCAGAAACTACATCGTGTGAAATGAATTGCGGATGTTTTTTTAAGGTCACGTGGGCATACCTTCTGAAGGATATTTCGAGATTTTGACAAGATGCTTTGATATTTTTTATATAATCTGTTTTACCTCTCGGAAGTCGTACTTCTTCTACCTTGGGGTTCATAGGAATATAGTACAGCCGAAAAAGTCGGTCGATTTCTTGTCATATAGTACACAACATACGTCAGTGCTAGTTTATTTCACACTGGTCATTTGTCTGATGAAGGTGACCGCGTGGTCATCAAAAGGTCACACTAAAATCTTCAACTGGTTGTTTTATAAGAACTTCTATTCTATTGACATAACTATCCCGGAAAACAAATTTGTGAGGTTCGAAAAAAAATCTTAAACGTTATTAACATCGAGGAAGGAAAATGCGCTTTAGGGAAACATGAACTGTCCCCGACAAACAATAAAAATAGCCAGTATATAGAAGGAAATAGACAGAAATTGACATTTCAAGTACAGAGAGACAGAGAGAGACAGAGAGAGAGACAGAGACATAGAGACAGAGAGAGAAACAGAGAGAGAGACAGAGAGAGACAGAGAGAGACAGAATTAGAGAGAGAGAGAGAGAGAGAAGAAAAGAGAGAGAGGGGAGTGGAGAGAGAGAGAGAGAGAGACAGAGACGCAGAGAGAGAGAGGTGGGGTGGCGGGGTTGTGCGCGCATTTAATTCAGTATCTAGATATTTATATTCCTAAAACAGGATTTTACTTGGGGCATTATTCATTTAGATGTTAACGAACGATATGTAACTTCATTAAAATATAATTACCAAACTTAATCTGTTTACCCGGTCGATTCTCTCCCGTATTCTGATCAATTCTTGCATGGTGGCGCGGTTTTTATCACACCAAAGCCAATAACAGTTTTTTTTTCTTTTCAAAATACGTTCTTGTAATTTCAAATAATCGAGAACTTGACTAACATGTTTAGAGTACCATTTGATTTCAGAAAATGTCTTTTATAGAGAAATCAATCCAAACGTGAGGAGATTATGATATCTTTATCACGTTATATGTTATTTATAGGAAGTCTGATGTCTCCATTCAAATGTACAAACCTACGCTGTGACGATAAAAGAGAAATTCGACATTACTATAGAACAAAGGCCTAAAGCCAGAATTTTTTATTGAACCTCTTCATGTACATTAGATGCAGAAGTGAATTTTCATTCTTTTTTTAAAGCTTGTCGTAATAGCTGAATCTAATAGCATCACCCGTTAAAGAGACTAGACCCTGGGATCCCATGGGTTCTGGTATCATCTAATTGAGTGTATATCCCGGAAATATTCTAACCTGATTTCTTATTGCTCAATGCTTTACAATGCAAAATTCAATAGCTGCCTAACACGTACACTAAATCAGAATGTCTGGGAGACATCTGAAAGCAATTTGAATTTGGGGTCAAATTTCGTTGCAGACAGGCACTTTTTGTATACTGCGGACAAACAATATGGTTTTACCATAAACTGTGATAGACAATATGTGTGACAAGCTCTGCTTCAGTTAACGGACGACCCTAGATATCTTTGAGAATATATCGTGTCTGGAAATGAGAGCTTACTATAAGAGGAAACCAAGAGCTCTCTATCAACAGCGACTTATTACTGGACATGTACAAGTCCTGAATTCTATTTGAAGATTGAATGTTTATGGATTCAGAATCTGGCGTAAATCTCATGAATCATTCACCTTCACCATGTGAGTTGTTTATGGCAGAAAGAATATTGAGAAAAAACCCATTAAAAATCCTACCTGACCAAACACGACAGGGACAGCCATGACGAGGGCCTGGAGCCAGATACAGAAGATGACGATCCGGGCGTGACGCATTGTACATAGGTAGCGAGCTCTCAGCGGGAATAGGATAGCCATAAATCTGAAATCAGATGAAACATATCAAAACTTCAACGCATAATGTCAAACGGGTAAGATAGGTGTCAAATTCTACATGTCACTTCAAGACCTCAATTGGATTCTAGTATAGCTTGATAGCTTCTTTCGTGGGTCACGAAAGATGGAAGCATAAATGATGGCAGGAATACACTAAACAGTAACTCAAGGTTTGATAACCCGACGTTGTAAGAGTGTACGTCGTAAACGAAATGGAATCTGCAACGAAAATTCCATCAACGATGGGAATTCTTCTCTTTAGCTAAAATATTTTATAAATTCTTTCAGTCCAAAAGAGTTTCGTTGAATATTAATGCTTTATTGTTCAAATAAGTTGTAAATTCTGATTTAGTTATGTCTCTCATACACAAGTTATTTATTATTGAGTTGAAAAGCCAATTTCTATTCAAACAGTATCCTCTGCAAAATATATTTAGCTATCCTGTCACACCTCTATCTCGTGACACACTAGTCGTGAGAAGGCGCCTAAAAGTAGGAGACAAAAGTAGAGTTGTAGTCGTATGTAAGTAGGACATCCTTGAATGTTCATTTGTGTATCAGGAACCTTTGAGATACGGGCAACATCTCTAAACAAGACCTTTCGATCAATTTCGTTGCACATTTGCTGGTTCGTATTTTTTAAGGCATCCGAGGGTCCTCGAGATGGCGTTAAAGTATCTTTGGTGCTAATGTCCTGAAGTGTTGAAACCAGTGGGTGCTCCTTCTGGTATCTTAATGACGTCATCGTACCTGCAGCAGCCTCCAAGAACATCAATATAACATATCTCTTTAGCATTTCCAATAGCCATGTCTAATGAATCTCACTGTATTTCATCGTCTTTTTTATTTCAATTATTCAAAGTCGAGAGGAAAGCAATCTGATTTGTTGGTGGTGATTGGTTTATGCTAATTAGTAAAGGTCATCTGAACGGCGAGACGAACAAATACTATATCAGATCTGCATGTAAAGAGGTACAATGGCAGACCTAATTTTATCAGGACGAATATTGGTCAGTTTGAAATAAGTAAGAGAAATAGGAAAGTTGATATTAAATGGATTACACGACTGTTTATGATACCAGGTAGATAAAATATATCTAAAATGAAAGTGATAAACAGAAACATAACAAAGAGAAAATATACGGGCTGTATACCATGATCACTGCTTACTTGGTCGACGTTTTGAAAAGAAATACTTTCTTCAGTCCGTGCTAAATGCTATAGAAATCACCATATAAAACTGTATTAAAGATGTAACACTTAATTCAATGCGTTGAGGACACCAACCGTAACCGAAGGTTTTGAAAGTTATGACACCAATCGTAACCGAAGATTTTGAAAGTTAGGACACCAATCGTAACCGAAGGTTTTGAAAGTTAGGACACCAATCGTAACCGAAGGTTTTGAAAGTTAGGACACCAATCGTAACCGAAGGTTTTGAAAGTTAGGACACCAATCGTAACCGAAGGTTGCGAAAATTAGAACACCCATCGTAACCGAAGGTTTTGTAAGTTAGGACACCAATCGCAACCGAAGGTTTTGTAAGTTAGGACACCAATCGTAACCGAAGGTTTTGGAAGTTAGGGCACCAATCGTATCCGAAGGTGATGAAACTTAGGACACCAATCATAACCAAAGGTTTTAGAAGATAAGACACATGATCATAGGATCAGAAATAGGAATATTTTGTTTGCGTTTTCTGATAAGTATTGTTATGTAGTGTAAACTACTCATGAGGGGATAGGAGTTTTGTCATATTTGGGGAGGTAAAAATGAAAAGGGAATTTTATTCGTTTAATTTTCATGTGTAAACAGCCTTACATTTGACCAAACGTTGCTACCTGATTTTAGGAATGACAGTTGGCGATTGGGTCACAGACATACTCCCATCATCGTCCCTTGTGGACAAGAAGGAACTGCTGAGTAACTAAAAGGTAGTCGCCATTCACCTGATAAAATACAGGCTTTCAATATCCGTATACTCTTGTAAATAGGCATGGCTCTCAGATTCCTGTCTTAACTGTATTGTACGAAAGAGTAGCCAGGTTTACAAAAGGACAATCTCAAGCTTTATTTAGAGTGGCGATGTGTATCACAAACGAGACTACATTAACAAAACGATAAGTGAACCAAAATGTTGAACAGTAGTGACACGGTGAGTTTTATTTAGTTTTATCGTAAATATCTGTTAATAACCATGCCAGCTAGACGGTTCTTTAACTCATAAGTCTGCATGGTAGATATCATGTAGTGATCGATATTGCCTATTACAATCTAGCTTTCTCTTCAGCATGCGCAAAGCATTTTGGGGTTTAAACTCTAAATGTAGCTAACTTATTTACATGTTATCTTGTCAGTCTGACAAGTTCGATTGGACAGAACGTCAGAGGTAATAAATGTTTAGCTAATGAGTTTCGATGAGGTTTCTTTAACTAACTAGGCTTAACGACCATAACATTGCACGATATACATTGTATGCTTGCAATTGTTTTTGTATTTGCAACTGTCTTTCATGTGACAAATTTGACTGCGCATTTACAAGAATTGGAAATGAGGTGTGACACTGGTATTTTCGGGATGTCTATTGCTAATAGCTAAATAGCCAATCATCATTGACTGGTTATGTTGCATTTGTTTAAAACAGAGTCTCTAGTGATATACGTCGTCGAAATTATCTTTATATTATCAAATTGTGTCGATGATCTTGTGTATTTTATATGGGTTCTGAGGTGTATATACCCTTCTGTGTTTTTTGTCTTGTCTTCATTTAGCTTTCCTTTATAACTTTGGCTTTGCATTTGACATTTGACCTTGTTTTCGGTCCTGCTTTGTTGTAGTTCCCCCTCTTGTGTAACTTTGGCCTTGTGTTTGACATATTTTTAAAATCTTGGTTTGCTATAGTTTCCTTCTCATCATTACCGCTTCGTGACGTTGGATTTGCGGTGAACACTCTCTGTATAGGCTGACTACTTGCCTTGTGTTAGGATAGTGATCTTACTGTTATGACTTGTATGTAGAAGCTGATTTGTAAAACAATTGGGAATTCATTAATTGTCTTCATGATGCGACGGTTTGTCTATACGACTTACGGTTGCTTGATTGATCAACGTGGTTGGCTTTGACAAACCGACTCAGTGATTTGGGGTTACACTTTAACACAGATATCGAGCTCTACAAATCCCGAAACGGAGTAACCTCGGTGTTTTTCGAAAATTGGCAACGCACCGTATTATCACAAAAAGCCAATATCATTCGAAATGCACTAATCTTAACAATCACTCATCAGAGGGCAGCACTGAATGTAGGACACGCGAGTGCGTTCGACAACACAGCCTAATACAGCAGAATAGATGAGCTGTGTTACTGTAGAGAAATCTTAATGCATGAGAGGAGCCACGATAGCCAACATCCACCACTGCTAAAACGACAAAGTTGTAATATCATGTTTGACTGTCCATCTATTGTTTACAATTCAGTAGTAGTTATTCAGGTGTAATCGAACTCGCCCTATATCTGCCATAGATACAACATGGCCTTGAAAGGTTCGGACAGGGTCATATTAAGTGGTATTAACTAAATTTGCTTGTATCTGATATCAAGAGGGGAAACAGACAGCCCACATTCAAAGGGAATCTCCTGTAAAGTAGCCATGTTGTCAGGATAGATCGCTTAGCTTTCAGAACGTATGGGACTATTGAGAGATTCGACCATTTCTGTTTTAGATAACGCGAATTTGGCTCAACATCTACAACTTTATTCAATTCCCGAAATTAAGGCCATATGTTAGAAAAGTTTCGTGTGACAGATAACCTCAGTAATAATGTATTTTCTATATAAAACAGAATCCGATGATAATAAAACAATGCAACGAAAATTGGCATGAATAAAAAACCCAATAACTGTACAAAATTATATTTCAAGCACAAAATCGGCGTAAAAAAAGCGCAAAATAGGAATAAGAGAACATGAATAATGAGGCTGTTCAAATTTACAAAAAATGTAAGACGTTCTCGAAAGATTAGAGTCTTCTACTTCATCAACAACTTTTGTAGTGAAAACATGTGCTATTTCGTGCAATACAACGTTCTCTAAAAGAGAACCGGGTTTATAGGACCGGGTAAAGGACCCTTTTTATGAACAAACGAATTTGACCATGAATCAATTGAAGCTTAACAACCCATAAAAATGAATCTAAAAAAATCCAAAAGGTCCTTAGGGCCTGTGACATGACATATTTACGAGCTATGGGTGTACGACAGGGTTTACTATACCAGCAAAAATTCTATCAAAACAAAAGTGATCTCTATCACATTATCATGTTATTTTTTAATAAGTAGGAACTGATACGAATGATAATCTCAAAATATGGCAAAAATGAATAAATGATATTTAATGGTTTCCTCTTAAATATCAATTTTATTTCACGAATATGACAGAATATGTCTGCGCACTCAGCACGAGTGAAATATAAAGAGGTATTTTGTCATACGAGTGAAAGCTATTCATGTATGATATCAAAGGGGAAAAATTTAATTTTCTCTCCGTTTTACATTTTTGAAATAAAAAAATGACGACCCAAACATGAAATATTAATTTCTCCCAGAGTGCATTGCGGTGCCCTAATAAGACCTCTGTTCAAGATTCTTGTAAAACGTATCTGTGTCAAATAATGAAGTATTTCATTATTTTGCTATTTTGCTATTTGTATTGTCATGTTGAAAAAAAAAGAATAAAAATAAATAGAAGAGGTACATAAAGTTATATTGATGTAACCTCTGAACTTTCATAGCACCATGAAAGTTAAAAACCTGACTTTTAACCCATATGGCCAAGTTAAAAATGAAAAAAAAAATTAATTGTCGGCACATCTTAAGATATGATGATTTTTATTGAAAACACTGTATCTACTTCCGGTTCTCATACTTCAAAATATGTATATATGATTCAGTACATTATGTACAGACTTAATAATGAAAATATGCTCTA